TCGATAACGGTACTTATGTACAAATCATTACCCCAAAAGCGATTAAAAATAGACTTAGTATTCCCTTTATACATGATCAGGCCCTTCAAATTGTCTGATAAGGCGGGTGGAAGGGATTCATGGATTGGTCTCACCGGATACCGAAGGAGGCATTCAGTGACAAACAAAAATCCAGGGCAACCCTCCTTCGATATCCGGCCATGACAATCTACCAATCCCTTTCATCCACCTTCTCAAACGAAAGGAAAGGTATGCCAGTATTTCTTCGTAATGTTGTAATAAATCCCACAACCTAACACACCCAATAGCAAATTTAACGCTCTACGACAGGCGTCAACGCCAAGGAGACTAAGGTCTATTTTGAGAGTGAAGCAGTTTGGCGTTTTCTCTTACTGAATATTGGATGTACAAGGTGCATGCGATTTTTGTAGAATCTTCGAAGATGAGATTGTTGTGAGGACTTTTATTTCGTATGAAAGTGTATGATGAAAAGATTCGTGGGTCAATCCCACCAGAAGACTCTGGTTGATTCCCGTTGTACTACAGCTTTTTGGCTTTACTACAACGTTAGATGGATGCAGTCCACCAGACATTCTCCTGCGACAACTTGCTTTTGCCATAGAGCTTCATTCTGCCTTATATCCCACCTCGTCCAGGATGGATGTGGCTCTTGACTTGTATGTGTTCCTTGAATCAAATTGTTTTTGCTTAAAGCCTATTCTGACATCTTTTGTTCTATAGCCTCTGATTCTGGCTTTGAATCCGCCGGCCATGAAGAACTCGAGGAAACTAGTCAAGTTTTGCCGTCCGGCGCCATGACAGCAACCAGCAACGCCCCGCTTGAGAGTGGAACTGCTAGTGCCATTGTCGCCTTTACGGGCCAGCCGGACCCACTGAGGCAGCTGTTGCAGGCTCTCTCTCGATCCGCTATGGAGCAGGCTTCTGATGATCCGCTCTATTTGGCCTATGCCAGAATCATGTCCAAGGTAAGTTTAGGCTAACGGTATCATCTCTAATTCATCACCCTGGCATTTGGGCTTTTCATCGATGCTTACCAGCTAAGCGTATGGGGCTCTTTGCTGGCTTGAAGAAAGCAC